CAGAACGCACACCACCCCCTCTAGCATCAGCCCAACCTTGCAGGCCATTGGCTCTAAGCTGGCACTGAGCCCAGACGCTGATACAGCGGTTCTCAACCTGTGGGTCACGACCCCTTTGGCAGTCGAACGACCCTTCCACAGGGGTCGCCTAAGACCATCCTTCTTATCAGATATTTACATGACGATTCATAACAGTAGCAACATGACAGTGATGAAGTAGCAACGAAAATAATTTTATGGTTGGGTCACAACATGAGGGGCGGTATTTAAAGGGCCAGAAGGTTGAGAAGCACTGCTCTAATAGAAGAGTTGCCATTCTGTAATAGGTTATTTTGGGGTGATCGAGTACATGATAAGACAGGCAAGTCCAGTGATATTGACTCTTTTGTTATAAAGTGAATTCCTTGCATACAAACAATGTAGAATCTGATACTATGGCAACACAGAAGGCGTTCACTATGCCCCCTAGGGCAGTGCTCAGAGAAGCATGGTGCCGAGAGAGACAGTACAATCCCCGAATAACATCTATTCCCATTATTAACCCCCTGATGCCACAGAGAGAGGCTCCAGTGTGACCAACACGCCTGCCCACAGGTGAGCACTTCTTCACCCGAAATATACGACGGGGTGCTCAGTCTTGGGCCCTGCTGCCTGCGTGTTGGGCAGCAAATAGTCCTGCAGATGAACTGGCTTTGGAGAGGGAGGCGGCATGCGGTTGAGCCTATGGGTGCGCTCTACTGCCACCACCAAGGTTGCTTGTTCTCTAGGTTGTCTCCCACCTGCCCACGTGATTGATGATCTTCTCGACAGGAGTTTGCTGAGCACTCACATTAAGCACAGACATTCTCATCCTCTGGCCCATTCTCAGGGCTCCATCCACATATTTCTTCCCCCAAATTCACTGTTCTCAATCCTCCAATCTTGTGCCTTCCAAGCCCCTAATCATTTAGCCAAATCATGAGTCACCTCCCATAAATCAATGATAGTCCTCCTTGCAGGAAGAGTGCACAGCCAAGAATGTAGCCTAAAAATCTTTACGGCTGCGCTCACTCGAGTGGTTGCAATGCCCAGGCAACCTCCTTCTGGATGGTGCTGACAGGCTGTGCACCGACTTCTGTAAATCAGGCTCAGTGCTTGTCTTTGATCGTCTGGCGGCAGGGAGCTTACCGTGAGGACATAGGTGAGGACTGGGGAGGCGCAGCAGTGCGGAGTGCGCCCCTGCAGCCTCCTGGGTCTTCAGGATCCGTTTTGACTCAAGTCCATAGATCTATCATTTCTACCTGTGGACGGAGTAGACTAGTTACCTGAGTGGCACTTACTTCGTCATAAGCAGTTCATGTTGGCATGGTTGTGCCATTGATGGGACTCCATTCTCTACAATGGCCCAGACTCAAATCAACAGTTCTTTCTAAAAAAATAAAATAAAATAAAAAGCCACCTTACCAAAAAAGAAGCATTTGCTCTAAATTATGTGAACTTTGGAGGGGTACCCTAGACCCGTGGTCAGCAAACTGCGGCTCGCGAGCCACGTGCAGTTCTTTGGCCCCTTGAGTGTGGCTCTTCCTAAGCCTTAGGAGCCCCCTAATTAACTTAATAACAATGTACCCACCTCTATAGTTTAAGTTTAAAAAAATTGGCTCTCAAAAGAAATTTCAATCGTTGTCCTGTTGATATTTGGCTCTGTTGACTAATGAGTTTGCCAACCACTGCCCTAGATCATTAGTGTAAAGAAAATACTTTATTTATATTTATAATAAAGTATGTTAGAAGAGTACATGATGTAAGCAAAGGCCACTATAGGACATTAAGTCATGGGAGTGTCAACAGAAAAACTCATAATAAAAATTAACATAGTGCAATGACTAAGGAAGAAAAGACAGGCTACTCAGAATGAAGCTAACATAACAAGAATGAACTACGGAAAAATAAAAGCCAATTTATATATTACAATTGGTAATTATTTATCTCCGATTATCACAGTTGGTTGTGCTCACTTATAAGCAATACAAAACCTTATTCACATAGCAATATTTGACTTTTACTTAACAAGAAGTCATAAGGTAGTTGGATCCAGGGTTGATTTGGTGGCTCAGTGTCATCTTAAAAATCTAGTTTCTTTCCACCCTTTCACTCTGTCTTCTTTAGGGTTTGAATTTCATCATCCGGCTCATCACTCCCCAGTTATAAATAGCTGCTTCCTCTCCAGACAACTCAGACTTTTTGGAAGTTTCCAAAGTAGGCAGCTGATGAACGGGGCAAAGGGCCTTTTCCTTTCTCACTCAGGGTGAAATCTTTCCCAGAAGTCCCCCCCACATTTCTTCTTATCTCAGAGGTCAGAAGAGATCGCACCTGCCTCAGAACCAGTCACACGCAGAGGGGGATGATGCTACATTATTGACTCGGACTTCGTCATGATTCATCAGTGGAGGCCAGAGTCTTAAACGATAAGAGATCTGTTATGAAGGAAGAACAGGAAATAGCTGTTGGATAAACAGCAAGAGATTCTGCCTCCATTATATTTTTTGTGGATACGAGATTGTTTATAACCATCTGAGGACGGGAGAGGGTCTCCTCTGTTCTCTGGCTCTATAACCATTTCATGACTCTATGCTATCACCTGAAATAATTCCACTAGTGTCTTTTCTAACAATTGGCTGGTTGAAGATAAACTCATCCATACTATAGCCGCCATGAGCTAATATGTTACTTGTCCCCAAATATCACAGAGACTAGCAAAAGGAAACCATACACAGTCCAGAAATCAAGTATGTAAGAAAAAGTTAAAAGGTCATGACAAACATCTCCAATAACCTCTGATCCTATGACAATAGCCACACACAGGTAGAGGAAAGACTAGGAGGTTAAGGAACACAGAAGAAATATACCTCCCAGTCACAATCACGAAGTGATGGGAGGACTTTGGTCAAGGTTCTTCAGAGAAATGAAACCAGGAGGGAATCAGCTCACGTGATGATGGAGTACGGAAGCCGGCAAGTCCCAAGAGCCGCAGGGTGAGCCTCAAGATTTAGTTGTAGTTTGAAGGCCTGCAGTCTCGAGAGCCAGGAAGAACTAATGTTTCAGATCAAATCTGAGGTCAGAGAAACACCGACGGCCCCGTTCCAAAGCAGGCAGGCACAAAGCACCCTCCCTGACTCCGGGGATTCAGCTTAAGTTCCACTCGGGCCTTCAACTGATGAGGTGTGGCCCACTCGCATGAGGGAGAGCAATCTGCTTCCCTTAGTCTACTGATGTTCATGTCACCCTCGCCCCAAACCCTCTCACAGAAACAGCGGAGCAGTGTGTGACCACGTCTTTGGGCACTCGGCTCAGTCAAGCTGATGCGTGACATTAACCATCTTAGACCTAGTGAATCTTCAAAAGATATTAATTCCTGCAAACTTTGGAATAACCTTTGTAATTGCACTGAAGGTCACTCAACATGCACACATTCCTAAAAAAAAAATTTCTGTGTTATGTTGTTTGGTTTGTGAGAAGAACAAAGTTAAACACAGCGCCTTGGCATTTTTTCCACCTTTTACTCTACTTCCTGGCATATGCGTTACTGCAAAATAGAAAAAACAAACAAGAAATAATAAATACAATTAAAAGTTGAAGAAATAGGAAAGGGTGGGATTAGCAAATATCAAACCCACGTATAGATTTGTATTCAGCGCCGTGGGCCGGACAGAAAGGGAGAGTCCTCCAAGCCCAGGAGGACGGGCCCGTCCAAACACAAGTGGACGTGGCTCAACAGCGAAGGGAACCCTCTCAGTGTAGAGGGGGTCCAGGCAGGGGACAGACTAACTCTACTGCTGTGTTCTCTCCAGCTGCTCCAGCACCTCCCATATACCCCACGGTCCCAGAAGTGTCACCTTTACCTCTAAGACACAGCGTACTGCTCTGTACAGTGACAGGCTGGCTCCTCAGGCACTCACCATGCTCTGCCTCCTCTGCTTCTGTATCGCTGACGTTCAACACAAAATTGTTGAAATAAAAGTGCTTATTGCTTAAAGCACTCAGCTAGCTATTCAGGCAATTTGGGTTTCTGGCTCTATCCTTGTGTTATTGCCCGCGCACACACATACACACACACACACATACACACACACCATTTATTTACTTATCAATTATTTTATTTCTAAGCAGAAAGGGGAGCTCTAGAACTTGTAAATATAATAGAACGTGTGTGTTCCGAATTTGTGCCATACTGAAACAGGCACACTGGATGGAATCGTCATCTTCTTCCACTTTATTTAATCTGGGACGGAACAACACCGGTTTGTACAGTAACTGGCTCCATTCACTAAGCGCTCCAGCCATGAACATTTAAACATCATCTAAACCATCTTAGGTACTTTTTGGGGCACAGGAAGGTTAGTATCTCCCGTTTGAAAATATAAAATCTCAGGATCACAAAGTTCAAACATATCTTCCAGAAGATCATTTTCTTAAGTCAATAGGAAAAAAAAGATAACGCCGGTCAGAAGAGAGGCTCCTGAATGATACTGAAGTGGAAATTTTGGGTATCACTAATCAGTCCCAGGAAGAAGAAGAAAAGCACTGCCGACAGTACAAAGCTGAAACGGGATTGCAGCGTCTGCAGCTCCCGCAGGAGGACAGTTGGCTCTGAATGCTAACTGGCTGCACACAATGTTTTCGAGAAAGCAACACGGAGACACGGAGGAGGGGACAGCATGGTTCTCTCCCTGGTTTCTAGTGCCTGGAGCTCTGTGAGCCCCTTGTTTCTTCCCTTTGCCTCAAAACCAAGAAAAAAAAAAGCAGCCCTGCCTCCAGTTGTCTCAGCAGCCTCCTCCAGCAGACGCGATCGCACCACCGGCGGGTCTTACATGGAAATTCTTGCTCTCGGCCGCTGCCACCTCTGCTTTTAATTGGGATGCCATCACCTGCCTGCCACTGAAAATATAGCCGGCGCCTGCTCCTTCTAATTAAGAAATGTGATCGTTCGACTTGATTAACTAATGATGTCACCTGCAACTTACGGCGGCGGTAGAGGAGTCTCCTTCTCCCAGGGCCGTGCTTGCGAACAGAGCTGCCTGCGGGTCCTCGGGGGTTCTGATGAGCCGCAGAGCCGGCTCCTGGCTCTGGGGAGGGCCTGAATCCTGCCTTCCTAACAAGCCCGAGTGAAGCAGGCGTTCCTGGTCCCGAGACCCCCTATGAGCGGCGAGGCTAGAGAATTACAGGTTAAACACGGGTGGACATGGACAATGTAAACCGATGTTAGAGAAATGAGGAAAGCTGCATTTTTTAAAAAGGGAGATGGATAGCCTGTTGAGATCAAACTCAGGACGGTTCCAGGAATCCACAGCTAAGCTCCCCTTGAGACAGACGTGACCTGAAGGTCCTCATGTATGTATCAGTACATCAGTTTCCCCGTTCTCAAATGGTATAAGAATTTGCTTCCAAGGAGCTTAGAGCGTTTTGTTTCTTTTATTTATTTATTTATTTATTTATTTATTTATTTATTTATTTTGCTGAATGAAGGCAGGTACGGATTACAGTCGCTATGTAGAGAAATGCATTAGAGACTAAAAAGATTGAAGAAACTACACTACTAAAAAAAATGGAATTGAATGAGAATAAGGAAGATCAAATGGAAATAAAGAGTATGTAGCAGGGTATGGACTGTTAAACCCTTGATGAGATTTCCCAGGTAATGTGAGATAAGAATGGCAGAAAAGGTCAATTCCAATCTTTAAAGCGTTGTGGGAAGCTGGGAGTAAGAAGTAATATATCCAAGAATCCAGGACTAAAATTGTCATTTATCTCCTGAAAAAAAAAAAAGAGAGAGAGAGGGAGAGCAACAGACCAGAAACAGTAGGAAATGGAAGAAAGAGGTTTACCTGCAATTCTTAAAACCAATAGTAAATAAACAAATAAAGCTATTTAAAGAAATTCTTATGAAATTTACATGTATAAGAAATATCTCCTCATGGTGACATTACGTATGAAAAACTGTTCATAACTCATATGTATTGAATTAATATCTCTATGAAACAAACAATCCAATTAAAAAATAGGCTGAGGAGCTGAATGAACCCTTCTTTAAAGAGGACATACGGAAGGCCTATAGACATATGAAAAGATGTTCAATATCACTAATCACCAGAGAAATGCAAATTAAAACCACAGCGAGTTGCCACCGCACACCTGTCAGAATGGCTGCCATCAACAGACAGACACGTGCTGGCGAGGACGTGGAGAAAGCCCGCTCTCACGGGCTGTCGGTGGGAATGCAGATGGTGCAGCGCCATGGAAAACAGTATGGAGGCCCCAAAAATTAAAGACGGAACTGCCTTATGGCCCAGTGATCCCACTTCTGGCGACATATCTGAAGACACTCAATACACTACTTTGAAAAGATATGTGTAACTCTGTCTTCATGACAGCATTATTTACAATAGCCAAGATATGAAGCAGCCCAAGTGCCCATCAATTAACAAGTGGATAACAATAGCTGTGGTGCATACGTGGCAGGATAGCAAGAAGCGAGGGAAATTCCTGGGCAAATAGAGAAACTGCAACAAGGAAATTAAATAAGGACAAACAGTTTAGACAGCTTGCAGCCAGTTTGTATCTAGACCTTATCTTCCCCAATCAAGGACACTTGAGAGCAAATACTTAATACCTTTCCTCTCTAACCAGAGAATACAAACTTACATCATCTGGCCTGGGAGAGTATAAAAAACAAAGACCCGAGCTACACCCAAGGATAAATGTCACTTGGGGGATGCTAAGTCAGGAAGAGGGGAAGGAAGAAGGAAAAAGAGTTTGGGTGTTTGTTTTTTTATCTCACCTCTGAACAAATAAATCAGCAGTCTTATTAGGACTTGCCAACATAAAATCACCAGACATTCTCATAAATTCTGGGAAAAGCCACAACAAAGTGACAGACCTTGAAATCTAGTTTGTGCCCAAGACATCCGGCAGGAAAGCTTTGAAAGCTATAGTGAGAAGGGTATAAAACCCCTTGAACTCCACAGGGAGGGGTGCTCAGAATACCTGGGTGGCCCACTTGTGCTATCTGCCAAATGTATTTTTAATAAATTTGCTTGTCTTGCTTCCTTAATAAATTTGCCTGCTTTGCCACAATGCTGCTTGCTATCTGTCACTTGTTTGAAATCTTTCTTATGAGACTGACAAAAACTGAGGAGGGGACAGCCCTTTTCCTCCAACTCTGGGGGCCGTCCGGTCACATCTTTTCTGGTGCCAACAGCACATACAGACAATGGAATATTACTAGGCCACAGACAAGAACGAAATCTTAGCATTTGCAACAGCATCCATGGACCTGGAGGGTGTTATGCTTAGTGAAATGTGTCAGACAGAGAAAAGACAAATACCATAGGCTTTCACTTACATGTGAAATCTAAAGAACAAACTACATGAACAAGCAACACAGAAACTGACTCATAAATGCAAAGAAGAAACTGATGTCTGCCAGCGGGGAGGGGAGTTGGGTGCTGGGTGTAAAAGGTGAAGGGATCGAGAAGCACAGGTTGGTATATACAAGATAGTCATGGGAGTGATAGTGCAGCACAGGGAACACAGTCAGTAATATTGTAAAAACTATGCATGGTGGCCGGTGGGTACTGGGAACATCAGGAGGACCACTTTGTAAAGTGCCTGTGTGTCTAACCACTCTGCTTACACCTGAAACCAATACAAAATA